CTTTGTGCAGAATGTGAAATAATGATGTTACCACCTATTGATAGTAATACTTGCACTGATTAGGCATAATTTTTCAATTTTCATGACTATTCTGAATAAAACATATGGCTAATATAGTAGATGACTGATTTAACAAAATCTCTGATCACAAACACACCTCAAACCATTTACCATTAACCCAAAACCATAGCAAATGGCTAGAAACCAAAGATGGTTTCTCAACTTTTGCCATTTAAAAAAAAAATTGAATCTGCTATACAAGGACCTAAATGTTTCTCTACTCACAAAATACATTATTTCATTCCACTATTTCTGACACTGACAGACTGAAAAAGGCAGCAAAGGGGTCAAATTATGTTGCTTTTCAATGACCTATTCTAGCAGAGTGTCTGCAGGGTTATATTTTATTTAAAAATAGGAGTGAATTACTTACCTTTTGCAGGCTACTGCAGGAGCATAAGGCATACTTACATTGGTTAAGGTTTTGCTGATGTCTTTAACATCTATCTGTAGGATATTTCCAATAATGGGGAGCGGAGTGGGTCCAGGAGGGAGCGTCCGTCTCCCAGTGCTCTGTCTCCAGAGAGAAAGGAGAAGCAAACAGGAAAGACAGAGCACCAGAATCACAAACAGATCCATTGAAGCCTACTCTTCTTTCTAAGACAAAGGTGAGATTGCACCCCAAAGTATTTATAACAATCCCTGCCAATTCAGCATGTGCCTCTTTGACGTATAAAGTGACCAGTCACCTAGGTCTACTTTATCAGGACTTTGAACCACTGATAGGGATAAAAATAAAATGTCCTTTAGTCTTGTACTTCTTTGTTCCGGGTCCCATCTTGTAGATCCAAATTTAATTGTACTTGACTGGAACCAAGTTACCGGTAATATACTTTTTTAAACCAAATTTGGGTTAAAACCCAACATATTTTTTAACTCAAATTTGAGCCTCTGCTGATTCAAGTTCTGCTGTCTTAGCAATTAATCAGTCCCCCTGTCCACCTTAAGATCAATACCCAATTGTCTGCTTCAAGATCACCTGTGAAACGCTTGCCATGACAATCCTGTGATTAGCAGGAGAGATGTACATTTTGAACCCCAGGTGGTTCAAATGACCAGCACGGTTTATCACTGCTGGTATTACTAAGAAAAACTGAGCACCATGGAGACATCACTAGGACATGCATCATTGCCAGGAATATGCAGCCATAATTGAGAAGCTCTGAAGTAAACCATTTGATGAAAAAATGTACTCAAAACTCTGAATTCTCAGATTAATTAATAGTTTGGAATTTTTTGCGTTGAAGAATATCAGTGCATTGCATGCCCCCCTTACTAAAAAAAAAAAAAAAAGTCATTATGCTCTATCAAATGATAGGTGACTTTTTCCTTAGTAATGAAATCCTTTCAAATATTTAATATAGTCTACTAACTATAACTGCCTAAACATAAAACAGCTAACATAACTGATGCAACTTGAATGAACAAGTAAATATCAAGTAATATAACTAAGCAAATGTATACAATTTTTGGCATTAAACACCCTTAAAAAAACACTTGAAGGCAGGGATAGTCATGCTTTATATTTCAAATAAGGAAGTGGAAACTGGAAGATTAAAACACCTGTCAATATTACAAGTCTCATAACTGCAGAACTGGGGTTTGAACTGAGATCTTCTGATACCCAGTGTTATGTATTATCACTTACACCAAAGCTGCCTCAGGAACAATTTAGTAAGACAAAACAAATCCAAAACAGTGATTCCTCTGAGTGTACACTACATTGATTCTGTTCATACAGCAACAGGCTTCATATTAAGTAGAAGCTCTTTATTTGACTCTGAGAATAACATGACCAGAGGTGTTCAGGAGAAGAAATTTAAAATAGACTTCTCCCCTCTCCATCACTGCAGAGATGAAGTTTGCTCGGTGTAAATGAAGAAAGAGCCAATCTTAGAAAATTTCATGCAGAAGGCTTGAGAAACTATGGCTTTTCCACCTTGCAGTCACTTCCAGTAATGGCTGCTTCCATTGTCTTTGGTCTGTCATTGTCAGAACTAATAGGATGTAATCATGAACTGCAACAAAGGGAAATTATAGACAAAACAACAACAATTGTGAATGCACTAGAGGATGGGAGATATAGAAGTCGTTGGACTGTTTACCAACACAGAACCACCATAATGTACAGACCTGGACCAAAAAGATGACATGTCTCTACATGAGGACCGAAGTACAATCAAGTTGATGTATGTTATTAAATCACTATTGACAATGTGCTTAGGCATGTACTGTAAAGATATCATATGTTATCATATCTGTACTGTATCATATCATATACTGTAAAAGATATCATATTTTATCTAAATTGACTAATGCAGTTATTTTCTGCTCTTCCAATAAGAAAAAATTAAATTATAATTTTGCAGTGTTTGAAGGGTCATTTTAACAGTGATTCTGACAATTTTCAGAGAATTTTCATACCTCCTATCTCTTTGGAATCTCTCAATTACTTTTGCTTTAGGTAAAATTGACCCATTTTAGGGATGAGAAAAGCTAGGCCTTGAAGATTCAGCACGATGGTCAAAAAAATGGTGTCTGCCAGTGGTAGAGATGAGACTGAAATCCCTATCTTCTGCATTTTGCAGGCTTCACTTCAAACAAGACATTCAGTTCAACAGAGTTCGCCAACATTTATTGATTGTGTACTATGATCCAGTATTTTGTGATTCAGCCTAATCAATGATTTTCAAAGTAAACATTAATTTAGTTAATAATTACAGCACGAGTTGACTAAAGTAGGGGTCAGAAGAGCTTGGTATTATACACTTTAGAACTTGAGTGAATTCAGGTCCTGGAGAACAATTTACCCATGACAAAAAGAAGCAGTAATTTGCTGCCTGACTCACATGGGTCTAAAGTCTAAAACAATCACACCAGCTTATTTTGAATAACATAAGCTCAGTTGCTCACTATAGAGCAATAATTTTATTCCTTAAGAGACAGGAGTCCCTGCTTTGTTCCTCTTCCTTTCTGCTGAGCTAAGGCTCCTGCCTAGATCTTTCTTTTTATAGATTGAGATACACATGGATAATTTAAAAATAGAAGTGGTCTCTGAGATCAACTAGTCTTAATTTTGCTTGTTTTTGATTTAGAAATAAGCAATTGATGACCCAGTGAGCTAGTGCCAGTAAAATACTTTGTATTAGAATCTAGTTTTCCAATTCCCAGTCTAATAGCATCTCACATTTCATCCCATGGAACTTTTATTTCAATCCAATAAACAGGAGGATATCAGCAATGAGTCCTTCATAGTTACAAAACCAAAGCATCCCTTAGCTTGGCTAGAGTGGTGGGTTAAAGCAAGGCTTTCTAAATATTTGTTTTAAGGCAGTTTTGAGTTCTCAACAACACTAAGTAGAAAGTACACAGTTGCCACATACCCTTTCCCCTCTCTCACACACAGCCTCTCTTACAGTCAGCAATTCTCAACAGAGTAGTTCATTGGTTGCAACTGATGAACCAATATTGACACATCATTATCAGCCAAAGTTCATAGCTCATGTAGGGTTCATTCTTTGTGTTGCTCATTCAATGAGTTTGAATACTCTATAATGACATGTAGCCATCATTGTAGTATTGTACAGAATAGTTTTCCTGTCCTAAACATCCTATTTATTCTGCATATTCACCTCGCTCTTCCTCTCAAGTCTTGGCAATAAATGATATTTTTAGTGCATCCACAATTTGTCCTTTCCCAGAATGTCAGACAGTTGGAATCACGCAGTATGTAGCTTTTTAAGACTGGTTTCTCCATGTCTACGCACAAAGTTTCTATGTGTCTTTTCATAGCTTGTTAGTCCATTTCTTTTTAACACTAAATAATATTGTGTAATATGGATATACCACAGTGTGTTTATTCATTCATCTGTTAAAGAACATCTTGGTGGCTTCTAAATTTGGCAAGGATAATTAAAGCTACTGTAAGCATCCTTGTTCATATTTTTCTGTGGGCATGATTTTTAACCCATCTGGGCAAAAACAATTTGTATTATATGGTAAGCTTCTTTTCATCTTGTAAAAAACTACTAGTCTTTCAAATTGTCGGTATCGTTTTGCATTCTCACCTGCAATGACTAATACTTCTTGTGACTTCACATCCTTACCAACACTTTGTCTTATATGTGTGTTGGATTTTAGTCATTTAGTGTGTGGTGGTAACTCATGGGATTTTAGTTTGCAAATCCCTGGTGATGTATGATGTCTAGCATTTTTCATACATTTATATGCCATCTGTATATTTTCTTGGATTAGATGTCGGTTCAGATCTTTTGCCCATTATTGTACTCATTTTTCTATTTACATTGCACCTCCCCATAAGCGTTTTTACAGTGCACACCGATCACCTCGCATCTATTGAGTAAGCCAGGTTGCAAGACCTGAAATGTTGCCAAACTATCTGTACAGAAAGGCCATGTCTCATGGATACAAACCAACCATGTAACTCCGAATTCTGCCCATGGACTGCTCTGTTGTGATCTCATCTAAAGCCAGAGAGTATCCACGGTCGTCCAGCTACAGCTGTACGTACTCAGATGGCTTGACCCAGGGTGCCAAGCATTTTCAGGAATGGGGACCATGCCTTTGTGTATTGTTGGAGGCATCTCCTGTGGAAACCCTGCAATAAGGACAACACTGGTCTCATAGTGTACTGATACCAGGACAGCATGCAGATTTTCTCCCAAAAGACTCACAGGGAGAGCACTACATTATGGCAGGTATGCATGGCACTCTTGTAAAATGGAGGCTTGAGCAACTGCTGAAGCAGGCTGGGAAAACAACCCTTTATCTAGCCCCTAACAGGGCAGCCTATTCTCACTGTTACCAGTAATGTAGTTGAGTGCAACAGTTATGATGCTTTCAACTTGCAACAAAGCCTGGTATACCCCCAGTGTGGTAGGGGAGTTTTAAAAAATGCTTCAAAACATAACTCACAGCTAAAATGTTCCAGTTTGTTCATGTAAACACTGTGTTCAGTACCTGCGGCTAAAACTTCAGGCCCCTTCCTGAAACGTCATGCTCAGTACCTGCAGCCAAAACCACAAGCTTGTGTTATTGTTACAAAAAGTACAAAACCTTCCACCATGAAAAGTCCCTTCCCCCAAAGCCAATGTAAAACATATAAAAGCGGAGACCCGACTGCGACCTGGGCCCAGCCTTTGCGAGTGGAGTCTGCTGAACCAAATGCCAGTGTTCCAGAAATAAATGCAGCTTCCTCAGTGTCCGGGTTTCTCTGATTTGTTTTCCTGCAACACCTGGGCCAGTTGTTCCAAGAGAGGATAGCAGATTTCATCATCTTCCCACAGTTGCAACCAGAATTCTAGGGGTACTACTTTCCTATGCAGGACTTGACAGAGGGCCCAGCTGGTCCACTCAGGACTTATGGCCATGCCCAAAGACATTAGTGTCCCTGGAATGAGGGAACTTAAGACTTGTGCCTGAGTCACCAGTATTATAACCTTCTCAAATTATTTATCTTAGTCTTTATCCCTGCATCATCTAGTTCTCTTCTTAACTAGTTGGTATAGGGGATGCAAACATTGAGGTAAACATGGAATGAAAGCCTTCCAATACCCTCT